ATAGTAAACAGGAATTGCCTGAAGAAAAGATACTTGTTACTTAGAAGAAAAGGAAAATAAGGAGCTTACACAATAAAGTCCATTCTTGATCAACAAGAACACTTTATTTTGTTTCACTTTTGTTTACCAATGTTCTTATGAAAACTGCTGTTAGGAGCAGTTAGTCAGAATGGCTTAGCTCTTCTCTGTGGCTTTCCTCTAGTTCTGAGCATCAGCACTGTGGTTATTAACACTGGCTACTGAGAACGGCTCACATGTTTTTTGCATCCAAGCACTATCAGTCCAGACCAGACAGCGCCTGAAAGTCCCCAGTGACTTTAAACAAGACGTTGCAGAAAGAGTTCTGGAGCATGTGTTTCTGAGTGGCTGCTTATTCCATGGGCTGGGTTGGGTTTTGTGTGGTTGGTTGGTTTGGCTTTGTTTCTAGTGGTGTTTCTTTCCTTTTTGTTAGAATTAGAGTTTTCCATTTTCCCATAGGAGGAAAATGTTTCTATTTGTTCTTAAAGGCCATGTGTCCTTAAAAAGAATCGATTTTTTTTTTCACATAGCTTTTTGCTACTAGTAGATAGAACAGTGCACCAAAGTACTTGAATATTCCTTTCTTCAAAAGTCTGGCTGCATATGACAGCTGTTCTGCTGGGTTAAAAAAAAAATGCACAGTGTGTAGCATTTCACCAAAGCTCTCTCATAGATGGTTTACCTGAGGGTGGAAAAGCAACAAATAAATGATCACTCCCAGGCATGTAAATTTGCCTCCTTGTAGAGGGAAGGGAGGGGGTGGATAGAGGGGGAGAAGAAGGATGGATGGATTCTGGCTGAGCTGTTGACTTATTTCAAAGAAATGTGATTAAGGGTCAGCTCTAAGCCTATAAACCACTGTACTTTGTTACTTTTTAGTTTTTGAAGAATTTTGAAAAAAATGAAATCATACCACTTACTGTTCTTAGGAAATGTTTTAAATATAAAGAAGGCCAAAGTCCAAATCAGGTTTTTCTTTTTTACGAGCATTTAACAAGTCTATTAAAAAAAAGGATTAATATAGATTTAAGCACAGCCATTGAGAAAAAAGTACTTAGGCAAAGGACAGTCTACAGCCAAGCGTCGGTTCCAGCTTCCCAAGACAGCCCAGATAAAATGTTCCTTGGTCTTCCTAACAAACAACAGAGTATGTTTTGCAGCAGTGTGCTTAAAAAGTCTATTAGACTTGTCTTCAAATCTTGTTTTGGACAATTGTTTTAAAACAGATAATACGGTTTTAAATCCCATGACTTTGGCTGGTATCCCTGGGACTAGCAGTTTCTAAGTCACTCACACCCAGCAGTAAAACCATCCTATGGGTTGAGTCCAGGGCCACTTGGTGTCAAGTTTAGTGTTTTTCAAGTAGGTACTTGAGTGTGGTAAACAGGCAGCCATGTGAACTGTTCATCACTGAGGCTTGTGACTATAATACTGGGCAGAGTAAAAATTCAGCTAGGTTGTGGGGTTCAGAGACAGTCAACTGAAGCACTATTTCTGTGAAAAGTTCTACTGGAAGCACATTCAAGATGCTATTTCTACTTCCATGACTCACGAAGTGGAATTGAGTGGCCTAGGAGCATGAGAACTGCTGAAGTCTGTTCAAAAGTTACAGTGCCCCCCCCAACCCCGGTAAAAACTGCACTGCTTAGTCCTTTGAGGGGTGTTGAGAGTAGGAGGAAAGGAGCAGGAGGTCCCAGCTTAGAAAGTGACTTCTGTCTGGACTCTCTCAGTTTGTTCTCAAACAAACTTATCACCTCTTATATTTCTTGTCGATGTCCCAGATATTACAGAGTTAAGAGTAAAACAAGAGAAAAGATGCCTGTTATAAGTGTGATGTTGAAACTAATGTTTCAGTGTAATATATCATAAATGTGGTAAATTACTATTTTTAAAGAATAAGGGAATCAAAGGACCGTTTGAGGGTGATAAAGTATGATGCACTGATGTTTTTAATTTAAAGGCTGTTAATACAGATATTATACATGGACAGCATAATAACCTGTTGAACCCCAACTCAAAATAGAAAAACATAGCTCAGTGGTTGCGTGCTTGCCTAGACTATAGGAGGCCCTAGGTTTGACCCGTCTCACCACAGATGAGGAAGAAAGGAGGATGGGCAGTATATTGACACAATCCTTCATCCTTCATTTTCTAAGAAGTAAACCTCCACAGTCAAAATTGAATTGTTTCCCTGTGCCAGTCTTCATTTTTTACTCCAAGTAAGCACTTACATAAGAGCCAGTGGTTTATAATTCCATCTCATACGAACAAAATTGAATTTTAACAGTTGGTTTACTGTTGCTATGCATCTCATTTTGCAATTTTCATTATTCTCCCCAATGTTCTATTTTAGAGAATTGAAATACTGGCTACATAAATGTAGATACTGGCACTTAGCTTATCTATGGACTCTCTTACACACTTAAAGCTGTTCTGCTGCATAGGATGCATGGGGTCACTTTCACTTTGTCTCTGTGACAAACAGTGCCTGAGGGCATCCTTGTGCTGGTCACTCGACTCGGTGCCAATTCATAAAGTTGGCAATCACTGAACTTTATTAGATGTTGGAAAATGACTCTCCAAAGTCAATGTATTGGTTCTAGATGATGAGTTTCCCTTACCGTATCTTCACAGTACTTAAAGTGGGGACTGTGGTTCTTTTTGTTTTGTAAACCAAAGCTTATGGAGAAGGAACTCATTTGAGGTACATAGAAGTAATCAAAATCAGGACCTGAATTAAATGTAGTTTGCCTGCTATGTGTCCTGTTTTCTTTTACATGATATTGAGTGGACACAGTAAGTTTCAAATATAGTAATGAAGGTTGTTTAAAGGCACTTGGTTTACACAAAATGGCCTGTGGGTTTACACATAGACATTCATATATCATGATCCAGATATTGCACTAGAGCTAAAGATCCTCAGTGCAGAAGAATAGCCTGACCAAGTCCCAGCACAGTGTGACTGGTAGTGTTCATGAAGGACCCAATAAACCAAGCAGGCATTGTATGAGCAACTACTTAGAAGGAATGGGGAAGGCCTTTGGGATCTGGATTTCTGGCAGTCTCCTTCATAGCAGCAAGTTCCTCTTACCCTGCCATCCATACATAAGTCCAAGCTTCCAAGTCTAAGAGCATCTTGACTTTGTTGGCTTTAGGACAAGGCCTGGCTATGGTACTCCCCGAAGCAGCCACACCTAGTGAAATGCTGTCTGTCGATGATTTCCTGAGTGAGCCTTTCCCAAGAGACAGCCTCTTTAGCTGTCCCCAAAGACAAGTCTTTTGCTTGTTTGTGCTTTGCCTCTGGCCTCTTGGCACAGTCTGTTTTTATGACTTCATCACAGCAGGAAGAGTCGATGACCTTTTTAAGGCACAGAGTGTGGTTTTTACATCAGTGGCCCTTGTAGGCCACGGGAATGGAAAATAAAAAATACTTTAAGATAAAATGTGTCATTGGTAAATTTGAAACTGTTTTGTCTCAGGAAATCTCCCACATTCTCTTGAGTCAGGGTTCCCAGGGGTACTTTGGGAGAGCTGTAGTTACCTCTTACATGGCTTCTGACTTGGAAAATGGGGTACAAAAGGCTTGGGGTATTTGAGATCTCAAGAAGGTTAGATCTTCAGGTCCTTGTCCTGAAATTTTCACAGCTCCTTTTAGCAGTTTTATATATTTTCTTATAATTTAGGCATAACATCTTTTCATTATGTCTTTTATTTTTGAGATTATAATTATGTCATTTCTTCCTTCCCTTTCCAACTTCCTATTTCATTTTCAAATTCATGGCCTCTTTTTGCAGTAATTGTTCGCAAATATGTGTGTATTTCTCTGTGTGTATGTGTGTGTTCCTAAATATATAAATACAGCCTACATGTCTGTGTAACGTTACTTTTATGTATGTTTTCATGGTTGACCATTTGGTATTTGATAGCCAATCAGTCTGCTCTTCCCTGGGGCAGACTACCCAATCTTAGCACTCATTATTTGCCTGTAGTTCTTTGTGTAGGGTTGAATCCCCTCCATGGTCTTTCCCTGTCCACATTAGCTTGTCAGTTAGTATTGTCCTTGTTCAACTCATGTCCAGACAGTCATGTTGGTGAGGCTTTATAAAAGTGTGTATCTTCTGAAACCCTAGGAGATTTAATCTCACAGCAAATTCCCTGATCTTCTGTCTCTTAGAGTCTTTCCACCCCATCTTTGGCAATGTTCCTGAGCCTTAGATATGGGGGTTGCTCTGTAGATTTGTAGTTGTTTTGTAGGACTAGACTCCACAACTCTGAATTTTAGTTGGTTATACTTTTCTATAATAGCCTTTGTCTCTTGCAAGGAAGAGTTTCATTGATGAGGGGTGGGTACCACACTTATCTATGGGTGTAAGGACAAATATTTAGAACATAGAATTATGCTGGTTTTAGTAAAGTGATTCTCCCCCCAAGATCCATGATTTCAGTAGCTATGTTTAGCTGGCTAGGTTTCCCTCTTGTTGAGTGGTTAAGTCCATTTAGTGAACTTTCGGTTACTGCCACTAGTGTATGTGTGGCACTGTTGCACCCTTGAGGTTATCATACTCTGCTGGCTGTTATGGTTCATAGGTGTCATAGCTTGGTAGGACTGTTGGATGCTTTGCTCCTTTGAATGTTTGCATGGTCCCTTCTAGTACCTCCTCCTTAGAGAGGAGACTTGTAGGTCAGTTCCAGCTCGGGGTTCTCTGGGCCCTATAGACATAACAGCTTGATGGCAGACATTTAAACTCTTAGTTTTGATAGCCTCCCTGGCTTCCTTCCTGAGACATTCCTGACTTCTTTTGGTTAATCAGGCATACACCTGCTTCTAGTAATACCTGTAAAATGTACTGTCTGTTAATAACTTTGTGTGTTTGTGTGTGTGTGAGTAGAAGTCTGTCAGCTCCATGTGGCAGTGGTGGAGTGTCAGAGTCCAGGGCCTTCTGGCTTTCTTGTTGTGACCTTGCCTTATGCTTCTTTTCCAGGTTGTAATGCTTTTGTCCACAAAGGCTGCAGAGAAAATCTAGCCTCCTGTGCAAAGGTCAAAATGAAGGTAAGATATCTGTAGCTATTAGCATGCTTGAAATCCAGTGGTTTAAAATAGTAAAATACCAGGCTAAAGAGCTGGCTCAGAGGTTAAGAGCACTGACTGCTCTTCCAGAGATTCTGAGTTCAATTTCCCAGCAACCACATGGTGTCTCACAACCATCTGTAATGAGATCTGGTGCCCTCTTCTGGCATGCAAGGCACATGCAGACATCAGACTGTATACTTAATAAATAAAATCTTTAAAAATTAAAAAAAAAATAGTAAAATACCCACGTGTTAGAATTTAGATTGTGGTATATTTGTTTGCTTGCTTGCTTGCTTTAATCATTTGGTGCCAATTTTGAGACCAGCTTAATCTAAAGGTAATTGTTCTTTAAAATGATTAGCCCCCTTCCTGTCTAGCACATTCAAGAATTTTGAGACTTTGAATAAAAGAAGTATTGAGCTAGAGGCTCACACTTGTAATCTCAGCACTTGGGTGGCTGAGAGGCAGGATGGTTTCCCTGGTTTGATATTAGCCATTGTACCAGAGTGAAAACCTGTGTCAAAAATATTTTTAAAGAAAATGAAATTTTTTTTTAGAACTTTCATCTATTAAACATTTCTCTGTGTTTCTGTTTAAACGATTGTCTTAACTAGTTCTGCAAACACACTCTGTAGTTGAAATGTCTGGCTTGGCCATCTAGGAGCATAAGGGCAACAGGTGGAAATCAGAGGCCTTTGATACGTGATAGTCAGGGGTCTACTACATTCAGGACCAACATACCTGATCTTTTCTCCAAAAGTACATGTGGATAGCAGAGATGACATAATACAAGAACAGGAAGTACCAATACTTGTGCCACACAAACTTGGAAGTATATTTTTAGGTAGCCTGTGTGACTGACAGTATTGTATTAGAGTCAACTGTACATAGAATGTTTTTCTTTAGAGAATTTCTAGATGTGTCTACACAGATGTTCATTATTAACCACATTACCTAGTGCAGTGGCCTCAATCTTGTGTGTATATCAAAATCATCGCAAGATCTTACTCAAAGAAATTTGCTACTGTAACCCCTCCCCCAAAAGGATATCCAGTTCTGGAGTGTACTGAAGAGTTTGGTTTTCTGAGGAGTTCCCAAATGGCACTCAGATCTCACTCTGGGCCATGCTGGACTAATGAAGATAACTGACTTCTGTGTCTTGAGTTTTCTGAGCTCAGTGATGTAGATTTTGAGTCATGCCCCACTTTAAATTTTTAGTTTGTGCAAAGACTTAGAAATTATATTTTATACCAATTTTGATTTCTATTTTCTCTCCCAAAATTGGAAGCTCCTACAACCCTCAGCTCACTGGTTCTACCTGTTACCCAGCAGTCCCAGTTCCCCTCATCGTACTCTTTTTCTATTTTTTCATAGTGTTATGTTTTGGGACCATATTTTTTGTCATCTTTTTTTTCCTTCATCTGTACCTTACTCCCACTAGAACGTAAGCAGGAAGGCAGGAATCTTTGATTGATTAATATAATACACTGAGTATCTAGGATAGGGTCAAGTATATGATAGAGTCTTAAAATATGAAAGATTGTATATCAGAGAACAATCAGTGGGGGCTTACTGGATACTGGTGGAAGGGAAAAGCATCCCAGATACTCACTTGTACTTTCATCTCCTCTCCTGCTTCTGCCATTTGCCATATGTCTCACCACTCGGTCGTGTAAGTTCATGGTCTTTGATAAGACTATTACTGTGAATGCATTGGGTTCTGTAAAACAATGATGATACAGAGAATAGCATCTCTCTTGTATATGGTTGTAATATCTGTGAAAGTATTCATTTTTAAATTGGAAGTACTCTATTTCCTGCTAGTGATTTGTTTCAGAGTAAATGTTTCAATTTGTGATCTCTCAAACTATTTTTTTGTGTATGCCTCGAAAAACTTAATGAAAATTAGCATTCTGTCTAAGAATGTAACATTTCACAAATGCTTATCACCAAAGAAACAGAATAAACAAGGCACAGATGATTCTTTTGTGGATATGGACAGCCAATTTCTTCAGGTCAAGAAAGGAATTGGTGGCTAGAGCAAAGAGAGAGTACTTGGGTCATCTGGAAATTGAAGAATGCCATGCCTACATAGATGACAAAAAACATTCCTGGGATGGGGGCGGGAACATACCCAGGCATCTGCAGTGCTTGGTGAGCCCAAAGGATGGCAAAGGGGGATTGGGTGGGCATGGCCACAGCTCAGCAACAATGTTCTCTTTTTACTCCAAGCTGCTGGAGACTAGATAGAGGATGGGTTGTCAGTATAGTCTTCATGCATGTACCTTCTTTTCTCTTTAGCAGCCAAAAGGGAGCCTCCAGGCACATGATACATCATCGCTGCCCACAGTCATCATGAGAAACAAGTGTAAGTAGCCCAGCACACCTCTCAAAAGTGCACTCAGACTTTTTGTTCCAGACTTGATGTTTTGTGAAACTTGCTTGTTGAGTCTAGCCTAGCTACCTGGAAAGATCCTGTACCTGTTTTGTAGTATATTAGGTCACTACTTTGTTCTGCCACATTCATTGACCAGCAACTTAGCATTACACAGTCAAACCCTTTTTGAAGGTGTCTGTCTTAGTGTGTACATTGGTGGAAATGGAGACTAGAGCCCATGTGTGTAAGCAAGTTACTCCCATGCAGCCCAGTCTCCTCTTCAGCACCAGAGAAAATGGTTGATTTTAGTGCCTCACATCAGTGTGACACAAATGAGATATTATTGGTTAAGTTTATAATAGCATGTGAAATTATATGAGTGATTCTTTTTTTGTTTTTCCCAAGGTTCTCGAATGTTATACAAAACTGAGTAAAACATACTCACTTAAAAAGCAAAAACAAACAAACAAACAAAAAAAAACATCTTGGGGGCAGGCAGGGTGACTCAGGCAGGTGAAAGTGTCTGGTGCCAAGTCTGACTACCTGAGTTCAATCCCAAGGACCCACAATTCAGGAGAGAACCAACTCCCACAAGTTGTCTTCTGACCTCCTCTACATGCGTGTGCGTGCATGCGCGTGCACACACACACACCTAATAATAATATAAAACGTTTTGTTTTTTTATTTAAAACACTACTTTGGGTTGAATAAGAGAGATCTGAGACAGTAAAAGGGTTTGCCACACATGGCACAGAATAAATTTTAAAATCTACTAACCAAAACTAATCTTTACGGTCTTGTGCAAGATTTCACTTCAGATTGCAGTATTTTCACTCCCCGTCCTCTTTCATTTCCGTGTAATATATTTAATGCATATCCTTCAGATCTGCTGTCTCTTTAGTCATATGTATCTTTGAAAAGATCTGTTTTGTACATTAGTTCACTCGGTGTCATTTTCAGTTACTCTAGCTATAGTTTCAGACTGCTGCATGATATATTTCTTGAATATACATCATGTTTTAATGACTTCCAACTGCTACTATAAATAATGTAGTGTAATTATCCTCTGAGTTGGCTCCATGATGTTACCAGCACGGTGCTTTCAGCATGTAGTTGAATCAAAACATGTGCAGATTCTGAGACCCCCACCTAGACCTGAGAGACTGTGGTAGAGCCCTGTGGTCTAGGTTTCAATAGGTACTGAGTGATTTTGATGCCCACTCAAGCATGGAAGAACTACTTGTGCCTTATTTCTCTTATGTAGTTCCTAAGCACTTGAAAATGCTGTACCAATCTGTATACCACAGAGAATGTGTTCCCTTTAGACATGCTAGACCCCCATAATATTACACACAGAGACTTATATTAGGTTCAAATGCTGCTGGACAATTGACTAGGATTTCTTATATGCTAGCTCAGTCTTAATTATCATAAATCTATGTATTTTATAAGACTTTTCTTATTGAGGACACCTTCCGCTGGTATCCTCTTCCCAGGATCACATGGCGGCTCTGTAGAGAAGAGAGCTGAAAGGAAGAGGAAGAGCAAGAGAGTGATTTCCTGATTATATTCTGAGTCTGTCTTCTATGTCACTTCCTGCCTGGACCAAAAGACTTATCTTTACTATATTTCCCAGAATCCTCCTTGACTCCTAGTCCCAACTATCTTGCTTTCCTATTGGCCTATAAATAACAGTACTTTATTTATCAACCAATAAGACAAACATATACACAGAAGGACTTTCCCATCAGGCCCCCATTAGCTTTTCTTATCTACAACCTCCTTGGTTTCCTTTTACCCATCTATAGTAGTATCCCATTTTGCCTTCAAGTCCCCACTCCTTTTTAATTTCATATGTGAAAACATATAAGCCTGATTTTGTAGAATTGTCTTACTAAACATTTTTCCTTCAAATAATATAATTTCATTTTTGGTTTCAGCTGCATAAAACTCCATTATATCGTATTTTCTTTTTTTCATTTATCCACAGATAGTCATTTTTGGCTGATTCCATAACTTCACTATTGTGACTAGCACAACAGTAAACAGTGATGTGTAGGCATCCCTGTAGTAGCCTTACCCTGATTCTTTTGGGTATATATCCATAAATGGCAATTCTATTTTTAATGTGTTGAGACTTCATACTGATTTCCACAATGGCTGGCCTAAGTTATGCCTACCAGCAATATCATTTGCTTCCTCACCATCATTTGTTGATTTTATTCTCTTGAGAGTAGCAATTCTAACTAGGATAAGATGAAATGTCAGTGTTATAGTGATTAAGAGTACAAATTCTGGATCTGGGAAGATGGCTTAATGTGTGAAATGCTTGTTAGACAAGCATGAGGACCCAAGTTTGGGTTTGCATATGGTGGCATATATATGTAACAGTAGGTCTGGAGAACGGAGATGGGCAGATACCTGGAGCTTCTGGCCATTCGGTCTAGCCAAAACACTGAGGTAAAGGTTCAATAACAGACCCTCTTTCACAAAAAAAAAAAAAAAAAAAAAATAGGTTTTAGAAGCTTTTGAGGAAAACATCCCATCCCAACATGAACTGTCATGGGCAAGCACACTTACATACACAAGAGTATAGTTGTGGATTGAAGTCTTGTGGTGTTTGTGTCTTCTGCAGTCTTTTAGGTACAAGTTGTTCTTTAGGAAATTTAGGGCTCTGCATAACATTCTGGTTCTCCTCCATGATGCTCCCCCTTACCCCGTGAGTGTGTCCCCTCCCTTTACTTGCTTCTTTCTCTTTCTCCTTTTTGCACTAATTCTACAGGATTATTTTGCCCTTCACTCATATGGTTCTTCCCATCAGAATATTGTCTTCCTTCTAACCTGTCTGCGTCCTCACTGTAGTCTAAGAACCACTGTTTCTTCCTCTCTAACATTTTATTTGCTCACTGATCACCCTTCTAAAACACTCAGGATATGCTGTGCACTGGTAACCTTTAAGCATATTTTCCAAGAGGTCCACATCTTATACTCCCTTTGTGCTCCCTACAGCAAGGACCTGGTCTATTGTAACACCTGTTTCTGGTGTTCTGTTGTCTAAATAGAATTTGAATTAGATATCAATTATTGTGTTATTATTTACTAAAAGTAATATAATATTGTAAAATTATACCAGCCCCATATCTTATTTCTCTTAGCTCTTAACCTTCTTGGGGATAGACAGAAAAATTTACATCTGTGGCAGGACCTCACTTAGGAAAAATAATTTAGTATTCACGTGCCAGTGTGATCACTTAGAGCTCCAGTTTCCTCTTTGATCATGTTAAGGAGAAATACTCCATAATAACAAGGTAGTAAACAATTATTAGTTTTTCTCCATCCATAAATTCAAGAAATTGATCCAAATACATGCATTCAAATAATGGGAAGGGGCTGGAGAGTTGACTCCCTGGCTAGAAGCACTTGTTGTTCTTCCAAAGAACATGATTTGCATTTCCAGAGCTTCAACTGCTGTGGTGACACATGCCTTTAGTCCTGGCATTTGGGTGGATCTCTGAGTTCATACACAGTCAAAGATGTGAAGAAAGACCTGGTCTTTAAATTTTTTTCTTTTTTAAAAGAGCTAATGTATTGAAAGCATTTTGTGTCTTTGTGGCTTCCATCTAGTAAGTCAGCACTAGGGTCTGGAAAGGTGATGATGCTTCAATTCGTGTCCTGTCTTCCTTGCAGCTTCACAGCCCAAGGAGCGTCCTAGGTCTGCAGTCCTCTTGGCTGATGAGGCTACTGCTGTACCAATGTTTACTAACAGACGGTCCCAGCAGAGTGTCTCCCTCTCTAAAAGTGTTTCCATACAGAACATCACTGGGTAAGTGGGTTTAAAGAGTCCACAGTTGACATGTGGGTGACAAGAACATAATAATCACTTTATTTGAAAAAAAAAGTGGGTATATAAAATAATGGGATGGTACAGAGTTGGATGATGAGGATGACATGGTTGGAATTTTTTTATGTACTGTATTTATATTTATAATACAGACTGGTATTGTTTATCACAGAGCTCCAATTTCAAGCTGGATTGCTTTAGGCATTTGTACATGATCAGCCAGTTTTAGAAGAACCTGAGTCATGGGAAAGATGATTTAATCTCAAATATTCTGTTGTAACCACCTATCTCTTAGATATCACACCTATGTGTTATTCAGATGAGCCTGGTTTTGCTTCTTTTTAAATCTGCTTTCTATCCTTACCTCTGAAGTCAGTTTATCATGGTGGTGAATTCTGGACCATCAATTCCAGTTAGGTTCCTTCTTGCTCATTTGTATTGAGATCCATTTGTAGCCTCTTCAAACATTGCTGAGGGCACTGGTTGTTCAGCACTGAATGTCAGGTTATTAGCAAAGGGCTGATTATGTTGCTGTTGACTGTTTGGAGTAAAATGCTACCCTCCCTCCCATTCTGTGTCATCAAAAATGTAGGACTTAACACCTCTTACATATCTCCCGACCTAGACTAGATCAAAATTTCTGACTAAGGATGCAAAGTCAGCTTCTGTTTGTGTTTTGTTACCTCTGTGTTAGCTAATGTTTCCTCCTCAAAACAAACATTTCGGGTATTCTTCTTTGTCTCTATTTCTGTGATCTCTGTAAGTCTTCTTTTCAAAGTTGTAATGTTATCCAAACTCATTGGCATGGTGCCTGAAACACTGAGTTTTAAAGAAACTTTGAAGTTTAGATGAGTTTCACTTGCTGTTGTGTCACAGAATGAACGTTTACCTGGTGCCTACAAAGCTAGCTTGTGAGTTGAGGTGAGAAGGACCAAAGAATATCATTTATTGGCATGCTCAGTAGTTTTTAAGGTAGAGATTTTTTTTTAAAGAAAAAAAAAGGTAGTAATTATGTAATGTTTTTAAAATAAATTTGTTTTACATGTATGGGTGTTTTGCCCATATGCATGTCTGTGCCCCGTGTGCATGCCTGATGCCTGTGGAGACTAGAAGATGGTATTGGATCCCCTGGAACTTACTTGAGTTACAGGTGGTTATAAGCCACCATATGGGTGGTGGAAAGCAAACTGGGATCCTCTGAAAGAGCATCCAGTGCTCTTAGCTGCTGAGCCATCTCTCCAGCTCCTATAATAAATTTGAAGCTTCTTCTATATACATGATGCTATGTGCCTTTTTTAAGCCTCAAAAAGTTGGGCTAATATTAATTTTGCAATGATAATGCTTCTAAACTTATTAATAATGCTTCATTTTGCTGTGTACCTGAGTATATCAGATCTTGAGTCATCATGAAACCTACAGTTCATTGTCATCTTAGAGATTTTTTTAGGGATTCAGTTAAGAATGTGCACCACAGCTTATCAGAATGTGTTTGACAGTGTGTCCTTTTTCTTGTCTCTAGAGTTGGCAATGATGAGAACATGTCAAACACCTGGAAATTTCTGTCTCATTCAACAGACTCACTGAATAAAATATGCAAGGTTAATGAGTCAACAGAATCACTTACTGATGAGGGTAAGAGAAAACTCTGGCATGTACTACTAAAACCTCTGTCAAGATCCAGTGCATCTGTTATCACACTATTAGCAAATAGAAGGGCTTGGTTTTTCCCTCCTCCCTGGAGAGAGTCTCTAAATTTCCTGTTAAGTATCTCTTGCAGTACCAAGCACTGGACATCACACTTGTCCTAGTGCTAGCTTTCCATTGAAGGAAACATTGATATTAATCTAGGCATACTAGAATATGGATGCTTTTCTTCCTCTAGAGTTTGTACACATTCAGTTCTGTGTCTGTAATTGTAAGCCTACTCAGAAAAACATGTGCAGCATGTAAAGACAGCAGGGTGCTTCATGCTCCAGTGTCACATTGGAATTGTTTCAATCTTGTTAGATTTATGTATGCTTATCTTTCCTAACCAGACTTGAATGTAGAATGTTTCATTCCTAAACTTAGCCATGATTCTGCCTAGTATCTGGTATGTTCTCCTTGAGTATCCTCTACACTAGGACAAAGGATTTGTCCTATGAACTCATTTTCACCTGGAGGAAGATCCAGACTTGTAGAGGTCAAAAACCCAAGATCCTGAGGTTGCTTTTTTTTTTTTTTTTTTTTTTTTTTTTTTTTTTTTTTGTATTTTGAGGAGTAGGTACAGATATGAATGAAGGACAACTAATGGGAGACTTTGAAAGTGACTCTAAACAGCTAGAAGCGGAGTCCTGGAGCAGGACAGTGGACAGCAAGTTCCTTAAACAGCAGAAGAAAGATGTGGTCAAGAGGCAGGAAGTGATTTACGGTGAGATGCTTCAATTGCTTTGCTTATTTTTGGTCTACACCATCCAGCTTGCACGCAAGTCAGAGTTACAGGTACTGTCTTACCTCTCAGGGAGGGGACTTGAAGAGGAGTTTCCCTGTCCAGCATGTTTAAGTATGTGATTGTTGGACTGTAGAAAATTAATTTTTGAATATGCAGCATCATAAAGGTTTCCATTAAAACCACTGAGGCATGGAGACATGATATTGCTTGTGTCCTTTTTGTTCATTTTGGCCTGTAGTGTTCCATTCTGTTCCTTTCTCATTGCATTCAACCGTGTGTTTATATTTGCATGCATAGTTATACAGCATAAAAGAAATGTCTTCTAAAAATGCATTTTAGTTGTTGAGCTACACTAGACAGGTGAAATACCAGGAACACAGTAAATGGAAGGGACTGGATCTAATGAAGACTTCTCTGAAAACCATTTAAGACTGTCTGAATTTAATATACCTATCATCAGAAAAATGATGTTCGGTCAGAGAAAAGACAGAATAAGATGAGGCAACTTAGGGAAAGACAGCTATTTGCTCGGTTTCTAAAGTCTCTTTTGGGCTCTGAGCTAATCTTACAAGCTTAGCTGTGATCTCTGAAAGACCCTTGATCTCTCTTCTCCAGAGCTGATGCAGACAGAGTTACATCACATCCGCACACTCAAGATCATGAGTGATGTGTACAGCCGAGGGATGATGACAGACCTGCTCTTTGAGCAGCAGATGGTGGAAAAGCTGTTCCCTTGTTTGGATGAACTGATCAGTATCCACAGCCAGTTCTTTCAGAGAATCCTGGAGCGGAAGAAGGAGTCTCTGGTGGATAAAAGTGAAAAGAACTTTCTTGTCAAGAGGATAGGGGATGTGCTTGTCAATCAGGTGAGCAGCGGGAAGGCCTTGGGTGTTTTCATGCTTTGGGGTAGCAGAGAAACTCTGTAATTCTGGATCCCAGCTTGTAAATCTCAGCTTTACTGTTTGCTTTTGGAGACCTAACAAATTTAGTTAATCTAACCCTCTATTTCCTTTTCTGTAAAATAAGGACAGAAAGGTTTCTCTGCCTGTGCTATTTTTTAGAAGGTTAGCTATAGATATAAAACAAAGTATATAGGAAAAGTTTTTCTTTCTGTAAGTCCATGCAATCATCAGAAACAGTTCTGTTTAAGAAGTAAAAGGACATTTGTTAGAAGGCTTCCACTTTCCCTGTGGCCCATCTGAAAAGGATCCCATCTACCTGAAGACCAGCTAAAGCTCAGGCAGTTGACTGAAATAGGCTGTATGTGAAACACTTTATAAAATGTGTTAACATTTTGCAACATGATTTTATTTTATTCCCATCCCAAAGAAACTTAGAAAAGTATTTTTTATATTTTTAGATGTATGTCATGAGCAGCTTTTGATGTTTGTCTTTTAAATGTTTTTGAAAAAGGAAATGTTGCTAGTAAAACCTTAACAGACAAGAACATCACACACATGTGACTAGAGCCTGCTTCCTCACCAGATCCCTGCTTCTGTGCAGATACGGAGGCTTAATCACTGGAATGGTTGAATGAGAATTGGGTTGGGGCTGGAGGCAGTACTGAGGATTGAACCAAGGGCTTTTCATACATGGCAGGTCAGCCCCCTACCACTGAGCTACATCCCCAGTCCTGTTTTGCATTTATTCTGAGACTCTTTCAACCTCCCAAGTAACTGGGATTACAGGCTTGGCTGAGGTCTTCTCCTTCCCTAGTATCCTTGAGCCCACATCCCTCACTTGATAATTTATCAGTGTATCTGTTCATTCTAAAAGGATTTGCTGTCTATTAAATGCCAGGGGTAAAACTACACAGCTGAATATTACATAGCTTTCTGCCTTAAGGAAATCTGTAAAAGCAGGCATGATGTAAATAAATGTATATTCCATGTGAGATACTTGTATTTGGCAAGTACAGATTGAATAGTCCTATAAAATAAACCTAATGTGAGGCCCTACAAATGAAGAACCATCTTCCCCAAGCATCTCTCCTCCAAACATTCTCTTTCTCCCTCCCTCCTTCCCTCCCTCCCTCCCTCCCTCCTTCCCTCCCTCCCTCCTTCCCTCCCTCCCTCCTTCCCTCCCTCCCTCCTTCCCTCCCTCCCTCCTTCCCTCCCTCCCTCCTTCCCTCCCTCCCTCCTTCCCTCCCTCCCTCCTTCCCTCCCTCCCTCCTTCCCTCCCTCCCTCCTTCCCTCCCTCCCTCCTTCCCTCCCTCCCTCCTTCCCTCCCTCCCTCCTTCCCTCCCTCCCTCCTTCCCTCCCTCCCTCCTTCCCTCCCTCCCTCCTTCCCTCCCTCCCTCCTTCCCTCCCTCCCTCCTTCCCTCCCTCCCTCCTTCCCTCCCTCCCTCCTTCCCTCCCTCCCTCCTTCCCTCCCTCCCTCCTTCCCTCTCTCCCTCCCCCCTCCCCCTCCCTACCCACCCCCTTTCAGAACCTGCATTTATTTTGCATCTTGACTTGTAGTCTTACCTGTAGTTTCTTGTATTGTGCACAACCCTTAAAGTCTTTGATGCTGAGATTGAAACTCTAGTACCTGGTACTCATGTGTTGCTCTATATGGTGCCATTGGACTCAACCTTGTAGGGCACTTAGTTTGTGGTAGTAGTTCTGCTTCTGTCTTTCCATTGTGAGTGAAAAAACCTACACAAGAAATCACTGGGTCTTCTGAGATCTCAGTGTTTAACCTTTTGATAAAATGCCAAACAGTTTGCCAAAGATATTGTACTATTTAATATTTTGGGGGGAGTTTATTAGGAAGCACTCTTAGTTTTTACAACAAGACTAGAAACTTTCTACAGAATGATACCTTGAGATGTTGTATAACTCCGATTCTCTTTCCTGGGCAGTTTTCAGGTGAGAATGCAGAGCGCTTAAAGAAGACATACGGCAAGTTCTGTGGACAGCACAACCAGTCTGTCAACTACTTCAAAGACCTCTACACAAAAGATAAGCGTTTCCAAGCCTTTGTGAAGGTACTGACCTGAAACACAGGTGTCCCTCCCCATCATAGTCAGGAGCATAAGCACTCCATTTTGGCTAGAGCCACCTTCCTCACATAGTAACTAATAGTGTATTCACTCCCTTGCAGAAAAAGATGAGCAGTTCAGTGGTAAGAAGGCTCGGAATCCCCGAGTGCATATTACTTGTAACTCAGAGGATCACCAAGTACCCAGTTTTATTCCAGAGGATACTGCAGTGTACCAAAGGTGAGTCTCCCTATGAGCGCAGATCCAGATAGCCCTGGAAAGCACAGTAGTAGAGCTCTGCCGTGCTCTGGCAGACCTACCAGCGTGCCTATGCTTAGCTTAGTGACTTATTTATTTGGGGGTGATTCTCACTCTGGCCCAGGTTGGCCTCAAATTCACAGCAGTTCTTCTTCCACCTCCCCCAAAATGCTGAGATTACAGATGTATCTTATCTTGTAAACATCTCTTCATGGCTATTTATTTTGTTGCTGTTTTTAGTTTTTTGAGACCACATTTCACTGTGTAGCCCAGTCTCAAACTCATGATCCTTCTGCTCAACCCTCCCTCATGCTGAGATTACAAGGAAACAAAATTGTATCCACCTGATACACAGTTTTCTTAAGAGGAACGGAAAGGCTGGTAGTACAGTTACGTGGTCTCAGCTACTTGGGCGAAGGCAGGGGAGATGCAAATTTAAGGTCTGCTAGGACCTAGAGCAGATTCAAGTCCAACTTGGGCAGGCAGTGAGACAAAAACTGAGAAGCAGGCTTGAGGCACAGCTGAGTGCTACAGTGCTTCCTGGATATGCACAAGGCCCTGGATTCAATTCCTGGACTACCAGATTGTAGTGTTAAATCACTACAGTTGGGGTAGATAGATAATATCAAGGAGGGACCGTGGATTGGTTCTGTTAAAAGGTTATGTGCCCTGAATACTAACTAGTTCAGGTAACATTGAATTTGGTCAGCAGTTCCCACCATTGCTTCCCCTAAGTGCTAAAATTGTTACTGTCTCATTTAATCAGTATGTGGTGGTTTCTCTCAGATGATGCTTCTCCTAGGCAGTTACATGAAAGGTTATGAGGCAGTGACATTAAAGAGTAGGCAAACATATAGCTGAGTAGCTCATTACATGCCTCTGCTGCTCTCTCTCCCTAAAACTTGGTTCCTTTTGTTTTGGAGCATATAATTGCATATCATCCATAGCATTGAGAACTTGTAACTTCTTTTGGAATTAAACTTACAGCAGCAGGAAAGGTAGGCATGTGTTCCCTCTACTGTGAAAGTGTCATACTGAGAGGAATGTGATGGTGTAGACTCCTTCCATTCTGCTCTTGTGTGCAAGGAGCCATTAAAAGTAGTTCTTTTCTCCCAAGACAATGAAGTGGAGCAGGAAGAACTGGCTCAGTCCCTGAGCCTGGTGAAGGATGTGATTGGAGCCGTGGACAGCAAAGTGGCAAGTTATGAGAAGAAAGTACGTCTCGGTGAGATTTACACCAAGACTGACAGCAAGTCGATCATGAGGATGAAAAGTGGGCAGATGTTCGCCAAGGAGGATCTGAAACGGAAGAAGCTGGTGCGGGATGGGAGTGTGTTTCTGAAGAGCGCAACAGGAAGGTTGAAAGGTAAGACTGCTTCCATGTCTGTGCGCCTGTGGAAAACACGAAAACTCCAGATTCTTCTGGACTTCACCACCAGGTTTCTGCCTAGAGAGCCATATCCAGACACCACCCAGGGCAATAACCATGTAGTAATGTCAAAAAAAAAAAAAAAGCCGTGTTTCATGTGACTTACGAAATCCTATGAAATGTGGCAGCAAGGAAAATGCATATTCAGGAAAAATGGCAAGTTCGAGTTTTAAATTAATTAATACATATAGCAGACTGTTGTGGAAGACATACTCCCCACCCCCAGAGAGGTGCTGAGTGGCCACAGTGGGGTTGGGGTCAGTGGCAGAACTGTCTGAGTCAGACACTGTGTGTTTGTAAGATTGGGAATTTATCACTCCCAAAAGCTTTCTGAGACCTTAGAGAAGGGCAAGTCTAACTTATTTCAACGAGATTCCTTATTGCTTTATGATATCCATGTCTTTCAGTTTTCTCTAAAGCAAAATAGATCATTAAAGATGGCTGGTTCGTTTGGTTTATGATTTCTCACCTTTCACAGGTCACCTACAATAATTTAAGTAAGTTGGGGATTTTGTTTTTAATTCTTTAGTACATCGTACTTTTAGGAAAACGGTCAGTTTCATCAAACATTTCCTGGACAGACATCCTGCCTGTGTGAGCTCTAACTTCCCAGCAGCTATGGGTATTCCTGCCACAGTTCCTGGACTCAGTGAGCTGAAGGTACAGAGCAGGCCACGGTTGCACTGTTGTCCCAGTCGCACACTGATATCAGAAGGAATGTTTCCTTTCCCATCTCAGAGAAGTAATGATGGCACAGGCATCTGCTGTCAGAGTACTCAGGTGCCCTCAGCATAGCCTTAACATGCTCAGGACAGTAGTGCATAAGTCCCCTCCAGACACATAACTTCAGACCTTCAAGGGGGCATTTCTCCAGTGTGGTGGGTGCCAGAGTAAAGAGGAAGGACGGATGGCATGGAGTTAAGTCTCGAAGAAGGTGGGAAGGCATGGAGTTGGGAGGGCCTAGAACCCAGGGAAAGTTACATCTTCTGGACTCCCAGACAGACTTCAGAGAGTGATAGGAGATGAGCAAAATGAGACACTACTGGGATCCGCTGCCAAAGGTGCCCACCACACAGTGTGGAGTTGGCACTTGATGTCCTTGCTGGTTGTGGGGCATGGAATAGACTCACAATGAAAGGATTTCACGTGGAAAAGGGATGAATTTGGTGTTTTTGTGGTTTGGGGGCTTTTTATTTTTTGTCTTCAACACACCTGGGCATAGTGTAGAGTACATCATAAGTGACAAAGGCATTGGAACTGTTGGGCTATTTCAGAAAGCACCCACCAGCACCTGCACAGTGGAAGACATGAAAAAGAAGCATGGGTAATTTTTTTAAATTACACTGGTCAGCGGTGTTTAGGATATCCTGTGATGAATTAGGGTGCTCCTTTCTTCCAGCCCTCGGCACAGTTCTATGGTGGTCTGAGGGCCCTAGCTCAGACACCCTCCACACCATCACTTTGAGGCCATCTTTCAGCCAGGCTGGCAGTTCAGAAATACCTGTCCTTCTCATGAGAGTCTAGATTTGCTAGAACTGCTGTTGCCCAGAGCCAATACTTTATTCTTTTCCTTTACATGGCAGTTTATTTCCAAAATAAAAATGAATAGGTTCCAGTTGTTGGAATAAAGTTGTGGTCAAACCAATAGCAGAACAATAGGTTTCTGGCTTGAAATGCCTGGAGTGGGGAGAACGGGTTGGTATTTAGTCATTTTTCACACCCCCGTGAACTCCTGCCAAGAACAGCCAGTACTGTATTGAACACCCCGTGGAAGGGGTGGGATTGTTTTTTTTTTCTCTGATCCATAACACTGATCATATAAACCTCAGGTTCCAGCAAAGTTGAAACTTTTAGAACTTATTTTTGGCAAACACCTGAATTATTTTAAAGTAGACTTCAAAATAAAAAAAAACTTGTCAAAACTGATAATTCATGGAAAATTACTGTTGTCTAGTCTGAAATTTTAGACATCCCTTGCTTCTGTTTGCTGTGTAGCTTTGTAGGGAATTTAGTTGTGGCAGAGGTTGAAGAAAGCAAGGAAGACTGCATAAATCAACCTGGTTTCCCCAAGAAGCCATCGGCTCTGCTTTCCACAGAGAAAACATGTAAGGGTCGGCCTGGTGGTTCTGACCAGCTGGCTGGGAGAGTGCATTGTCCCTTGAGGGAGTAGAGCAGCATGGCCCTTTGTATGCCTAGAGGACTAGTCAGGTCATGAGTTGATTAATTTTTTTTAAGTTCCTGTATCCAATTAAATATATTGTTTGTTTTGTTCCATTTCTGTGATGACAATGGAGGTAGAACCTAGATCTTCTGGAGTCTTTGGCACTGCTGAAATAGGCACCAGCCTGTTGGTTTTGTTTTTTTATGTGTCATATTTTATATTTTGCAGCTTATATTCAACTTAGTTTGACCATGATAATTCGGACAAAACATGGATATTTCTTAAATTAATTTCTGTAGCATATGAAAAATGGGTATGATTTTTTTTTTTTCTTTTTAATTCGGTTTTCTGAAACAGGGTTTCTTTGGAGCTTTGGAGCCTGTTCTGGAACTCACTCTGTAGACCAGACTGGCCTTGAACTCACAGGGATCCACCTGTCTCTGCCTCTTGAGTGCTGGGATTAAAGGCGTGCGCCACCACTACCTGGCCTCATTATGATGTTTTGATATTTTAATACACACATATGGTTGTTTACCCAACCATTACTTCCTGCTGGTCCCCTTCTTGCCCCAAATAGTCCTTCAGCTTTCCTGTCATATATTACAAACAATTAATTTGAGATCTGCATATGAGAGAAAACATGATATTTTATCTAACTTACCTCCCCCATTACACTCTCTTGTTCCATATATGGTTTTGTTTTGATGGTGTGAAAGAGGGCTGACTACCAACTAACTGTAGAAGCTGAATTCACTTCTGTGTATGAAGCTAGAGTATATCTGTTCAAATGTTCTAGTTTCCTTTATGTTACCGTGATTTAAAACACTCTGACTAAAAGCAGCAGTGAGGAGGTAAGAGTATATTTGGCTTACACTTCCAGGTCACAGCCCATCCTTGAAGTATATCAGGAGAGGAGCAAAGAACCACAAAGAAACGTTGGGTGCTGATTCACTGTTCTGCTCATGGGCTCCTGCTTAGCTAGCTTTGTTACATAGCCCAGGATCACCTTCCCAGAAAATGGTATCACCCACAGTGGGCTGAAGCCTCCTACAGCAGTTAATAATCAAAACATTCCCCCACAGTCATGGCCATGGGCCTCTTTGATCTAGGCAGTTCTTCAATGGAGGCTTTCTTCATAAATGGCTCTAGGCTATGTCAGGTTGACAGTTAAAGCTATCTGGGATGGGGTGGGGTGGGGTAGGGTGGTCTTGCCTTAATCTTTTGCTTTAAAATGCCTCTGTCCTGTTTTTGATGGGTAGCAGGTAAAAGAATCTCAGATATCCTAGGCTAGTCACAAACTCAGCTGAGGGTCACCTTTAACTCCCCCAAGTGCTGGGATTACAGGTGTGTACTACAAAACCCTGTTTTATGCAATGTTCACTGTGGGGTATGGAGAAGGTCTCTGCTATAACGTCCCTTCTGGGCACTTTTCTGGCTGCTGTTTCTCATGAATATAATGAGAAATTGGGAGAGACTACAAACACCTTGGGCTGTGAGTGCGGCTCAGGTGGAGTGCTTACCTAGCGTGCATAGAACCCAGGGTTTGGTCTCCAACACTGGAAGGCGTAAGGGGGCAGCTGAAGAATATTTCATGGCGTATGTTGGTAAAGGTTGCTTCCTATCCAACACTGGTTGAAATTCATCTTCATTCTTAAAAGTATTTTATACTTAAAACTTTATCATACAGAGTAATGGCTTAGTAGGGTAGTCAGCTTTTGGGTGGCGCTCTCTCTCTCTCTCTCTCTCTCTCTCTCTCTCTCTCTCTCTGTGTGTGTGTGTGTGTGTGTCTGTGTGTCTGTGTGTCTGTGTGTGTCTGTGTGTGTAGACCTGAATTCAGATCTCCAGAACTAACACAAGAGCCAGATACAGTGATACTCGCTATAACCTAGGTGAGATGGGCAGCAAATAGAGACTGGAGGATCCCCAAAGCTCACTGACCAGTCAGTCCAGCCAAAAAATGGCAGGCCCCATTAAAACATTTAAAAACAAGGTGAAGAGGGACAGGAGAGGTGGCTCAGTGCTTAAGAGCACTGGCTGCTCTTCCAGCGGTCCTGAGTTCAATTCCTAGCAACCACATGGTGGCTCACAACCATCTATCATGAGATCCGGTGCCCTCTTCTGGAGTGCAGACATACATGCAGGCAGAACACTGTATACATAAATAAATAAACCTTGAAAGGTAAAGAAAAAAAACAAAAAAATAAGGTAGATAGAGTAATAGAGGAAAATAGCCAAAGTCAACTCTGGAAGACACAAAAGGTGACACACGCACTGGATATATCTTTTCAGGACTGATCACTTAACATTTTTGAGGTGAGGCTTATGGGGATGTGCCTAAAATGCCTCTAGGATAAAAGGCAATTATTTGCTTTGCCAGTAACTTTGTATATGTTTGAATCCTCTGTTCTGTGGGTAACCTAATGTCCCTCAAAACACCCCAGGAAGGTGAAGCTAAAAATGACACATTGATTTACAAGGTGTGAATTACTTGTTTCTCCATGTGCCAACATCATAAAGGAATTTATATTATTGTCCATTTTTAATCTGGGATCTATATTTTGTCCTCTTGTTTCTAAGTGAGAAATCTGGGGTTTCAGTATATTTAATACTATTATTATACTTGTTGCTGAAAACAGTATCTGAAGATTTATAAAATGATAGAATTCAGGGGTTAGGGTTAGGGCTGGAGTGACCAGCTCTGAATCTTGCAGAATTACAAAACTGTTGCAGGGGGCGGGTGTGATCTCAGACACAGTTGCTATGCATTGCTGAACCGATTTTATAAACAACTTCTCTCCTTCTCTTTCCCACCTCTATTTGCAGAGGTTCAAGCGGTTCTCCTCACTGACATTTTAGTTTTCCTTCAAGAAAAAGACCAGAAATACGTATTTGCATCCTTGGTAAGCTGAACTGTTACTCTGTTCTGTTTGAAATAAGTCATATTCATACCAGCTAGGCTGGGTATAAAGTCCAACCAGTCAGCATTAATCTGTCGTATATCTGTGGCTTATCTGCCCTCTGAAAACCATCTGACTCACAAAAGATTCCTTGGAATGATTTCTTACATACCCTTGTGGTTTTTTTGTTGTTATTCCTTCCCACTGCAAAATTATTTTTTATGTTCTTTCATAATCACTCTGAATGCCCTGAACACTTGCTGATTTGATCACAATAGAAATCCACTTCTGGAATGTATCTCCCAGATTCATCATGCAGAAAACATAGATAGAATTTTAATGGTCATGATCTGTTAATCTCCAGTGTGGAAATCGCTTGTTCAAATTTGATGAAATGCTTATCTGAAAGCTGAGGGTTTTTGTTGTTGTTGTTGTTGTTGTTGTTTTGGTGCAGGGAGGGTGTTAAATTGATTTTCTTTTTGCTTTGAAGCCATATGCATTTAAAGCTGTCTGAGCTTATCTTAGGTTAGAGTTGTCTTCTAGAGTGAGTGTACTGCATACATGTCTTATGTTTGCCTCTTTCCTCTGTCCAGGACCATAAGTCAACTGTGATCTCCTTAAAGAAGCTGATTGTAAGAGAAGTGGCACATGAAGAAAAAGGTCTGTTCCTCATCAGTATGGGGGTGAACGATCCAGAGATGGTGGAGGTCCATGCCAGCTCCAGAGAGGAGCGGAATAGCTGGATTCATATCATTCAGGATACAATCAACTCCCTGTAAGTGAGACACCAGGGCCTGCCTAGTACCTCTGTATGACGTACACAGGGCAGTGACCACATAACTGACATCTTAGGCATTTCGTTTGTTTGTTTCATCTTGCTTTATTTTGGTTATGTTAGGAACAGAGATGAAGATGAAGGGATTCCTAGTGAGAATGAAGAAGAAAAGAAATTGTTGGACATGAAAGCTCGGGAGTTAAAAGGTAAAATGTTGGAAATGGTCTGAGATCTTTATCATCTGCAGTTGCAGATGGCCAGTCTTTTCATGAGCCTTGAGCTGTCTCAGTCAGCTCAACTACAAAAACAAATAGTTTCCAAGAGAGAACGGCAATAAGAATAGTTTAGTGGGGCTGGAAAGATAGCTCAGCATTTAAGAACACTGACTGCTCTTCCAGAGGAACAGGGTTCGATTCAGGACCGTCTGTAGCTCCTGTTTCAGGAGATGGTGCCCTCTTCTGGCCTCTAGGCACTGGGCATGCACGTGATACAGACATACATGCAGTCCCTATACAAATAAAAATAAACAATGTAAATATAATATATATAAATATTAATAAACAATAGCATAACACTAGGGAATATAGATTGTCTGATCTTGGTGTTTGTTCTTGGACAATGATGACTTTGTTTATACCTTGTCATAGAGAATTTGCCGTATTCCATAGTCATGTCTAATGTTAAAATGAAAAAGATATTCTCCACTTAGTCTGTTCTACTCTTTGCGGTCCCTGGCCTTCTCTGTTGTTATATTCACAGATGAAGTGTGAGATGGCTCAGGGAAAGGGGGCTTACTGTGCTTGCAGCACTACTTAATGAGTTCCCACTGCTTCGTGTAGTCTCTGCCTCCCATTGTGTAAATAGAATACTTGAATCCCTCAAAGGCCAAGACATCCCAGGCCAAGTGTGTGTGTGCTTAAGGACTGAGCCAGAATTTCTTATCCCTATCCTTTTCTTGTTTCTTTTTCTATTTGTTGTTAAATAAAATCTTGCTCTGTAATCCTGGCTGGCCTTGAATTCTGGATCCTCCTGCCTCAGCTCTAGAGTGTTGGAACTATACTCCCTCTTATTAAACACTAGAGCCTGGGAGTCTTCTTGTCTTCACTCGATACTAGTTGAATTTTCTGAAAATTGTTTTGAGTAGCAATAAGGCCCAGAGTAAGTGAATACAGTACCTGTAGAGCTTAGTTACTCCTGAGAACTACAAAGTGACACAATTCTGTTACACTGAAGGAGAGGAGAGGAGAAAAAGATGGCTAAGTTTACACCTGCATTATAGCAAACTCTGTGTGTGTGTGTGTGTGTGTGTGTGTGTGTGTGTGTGTGTAAACTTAGTAGCCTATGATCAGGGTAACAGGGATAAAATCTTCTTTAACATTTGTTGTGTAGTCGGCTAGATGTACTACTGGGTACCAGGCTTGTTTGGATGCTCACACTTAAAGGGTATGTATATAAATGGGTGACAAGCCATAGATTGGTCTGGCGGACCATATAAAATATGTGGGATCTGTTCATCTTGCCTCTAAGGCTCATAGAAGTAGTTGCATAAATTACATCTAAAAAAAATTATCTTGCTTCTTAAGGGTAGTTATGTGAAAAAGAACTTGATTTGTTTGCCTATAGTGGCAGGTCTACAGGGTCAGGACTAAGTGACAGGAGCCAAAAGCTGGCAAGTCTTTTTGAAAAGGAAACAAGGGATTGTGTGTGTGTGTGTGTGTGTGTGTGTGTGTGTGTGTGTGTGTGTGTGTGATATTTGTGTGTAGTTATACTATATATACACTATATAAGTATAAATTTTATTTTATGTGCATTGGTGTTTTGCCTGCTTATATGTCTGTGTGAGGGTATTGGATCCCCTGGAAAAGGAGTTGTGAGATGCCATGTGGGTGCTGGGAATTGAACCTGGGTCCTCTAGAAGAGCAGCCAGTACTCTTAACCACTGAGCTATCTCTGCAGCCCTGGGAATACTATACATTTATTGGTTGGTTGGTTCGTTGGTTGGATGGATGGTTGGTTGGTTGGTTTTTTGAGACAGGATTTCTCTGTGTAGCTTTGAAGCCTATCCTTGGAACTAGTTCTTATAGACCAGGCTGGTCTGGAACTCACAGAGATACAACTGCCTCTGCCTCCCAAGTACTGGGATTACAGGTGTGCACCACCACCGGCCAGCTGGAATGCTATACTTTTGATGTATTTTTTTTTCAAGTTTTGGACCCTTTTAGGAGAATGGCTTGAGGAAGTAGAGGTGCCACTGGAAATGGACCACTTGAGATGCTTAGGATAGGTTAGCAAGAAATGAGTGGGAAAGTAGACAATTGAAGAAATGAGGTTATCAATCAAAGTGCTACTTCCAGCCTCAATCAGAGAAGCCTGTCTGCAAAGAGCAGAGGTGACTGCAAAGCTGTTGAAGATGCTGAGAATAAGTTAGTGACAATTGAGTGCTCAGCCCTAAGCAAGACATGTATACCAAACCTCTGAGGCTCTGGGAACATGGTGGAAGAAGGGGAAAGAATGCAAGAGCATAAGGAGAGGAAGAAAGTCTGTGAAAGCTGTCTTCTGGGCATGGCACAGTGGCTAGGGTCAGGACTTTACAGCAGCTATGGCTGCCTGCAGTGGACCCATCAAGAGTCAATTGGGGATTGGTAGGGTCTCTACCCACTCCCTGCTGCTGGTGGATTTGGGAGGAAGCGCAGTGAGGTCTTAAGTCTCCATTGAGGAACTCATTCACCTCCAGTGGATAGTCAAGCTCATGGACATGCAGATGAACCTGGTTAAACTGACTGTGTCTCAAAAAAATAAAACAACAAAATCACGAATGTCGGAAAACTACTTGGAATTGGATACTAAGGGTATAAAAGGAATTAGGGTAATAAACTTTATACATGTCGTCAAAGAACAAACTTAAAGAAACAGACAAAAACTAGTCAACTGAATGTAGTGATAGGATAGAGTTGTGTCCAAAATCCTGGTGTTTGCAGAAAGAACCCAGGGCAGTTTGAGAGTACAGGAGCTTGATCCTGTCTGTGTTCAGGATGGGAGCCATTTCCTGTCTTGGGCCTGTCCATAACCACCACTAGGTGGTGCTCATCTCTCAGTCATCTTGTGATCCCCAGCTGCAGACAAGTAAAGTCAGGTGTTTTCTCCATTTGCCTGCAGAACAACTTCAACAGAAGGACCAGCAGATCCTCCTCTTGCTGGAAGAGAAAGAGATGATTTTCCGGGACATGACCGAGTGCAGCACTCCCTTGCCCGAGGATTGCTCGCCATTGCACAGCCCGAGAGTCCTCTTCCGCTCCAACACAGAGGAAGCTCTCAAAGGAGGACCACTGATGAAAAGTGCAATAAGTGAAGGTAATTTACACACAGCACTGGCCCCTCTCTATCCTGTCCCAGAGAGAGTTGCACACTTATGTCCCATACCAGTGCCTGCTGTTACTGTAAAACAAAACACCAATATAAAAAACTTCCCAGTATTACTGTAGTTAAATTGTCAGGTAAACATCCCTAACAGTCACTACCCAAGCTAAGAAATCAACATGGCAAACACCCTGAAAGCCTTTGCATTTCCCAACACACTTAACTTCCTCCTAACAGGAGCAGCTGCCCTAACCTGTATCAATAATCACTTAAGTACTTCCCCCTTCTTTTTAATTTTTAAAGTTACATTAGTGTATTTACTGTGTACATGCATGTGTGTGGGCATACGCATCCCATGATATGCATATGAAGGTAAGAAGGCAAATTGGGGAGCCTGGGACAGCAGGTAAAGGCATTCACCATGGAGCCATGCCTAATGATCTTGAGTTTGATCTTTGGGACCTTCATTGCGGTCCCAGGCTCCCCAAGTTGCCAACCAACAGGAAGCTAGAGCATGCCAAAGCAGCAAGGAAAAAGAACTACCATGTGCCTTGTCTGTCCCTTAAAACCTCTACCATGTCACCCTGACATCACCATGACCACACCCTGATGGGCGTGGTCAGGCACACCTGTAGCCAGCCCTTAGGAGGCGTGGTTACGGTGTCTCCCTACAAGGAGCTAATAATACGGAGGCCATGAAGGGGTACTACTTACAGCTTGCCCACTGCCCAATCTTATGGAGGCATTTTCTCCCCATCCCTGCTGTGCAGTTGATCTTTGAATTAGTTGAGCTTTTGGAACCGCTGGTTGGACTTTTCCATATGGTACCCTGTCTCTGGGTCTGTCGATCACAGCTGGCTTCAGAAGCTGAATTTCTCAGACTTGATGGATTCAAAAGATGTACTCCTGTGGTGTTGAATGCTTTCATCGGGAAGCATCTGGCCCGAGTTAGTTCTTTTTCTGTGATGTAGGAACAGGTGAATAGAAGGATGAATCCTACAGGGGAGGGTCCTCTTCCTTTATGTGCCAGTTTTCAATAAACTCGTCTGTGTTAATCCTCTGATAGGACTTGCACTGTTTTGCACACATTATTATGAGGCTGCAATCGTAGCTCAAAGATAGAACTCTGCATGCACGAGGGGCCTTGTGTTCAATACCCATCACCAAAATGAGCTGGGTACTGAACCAATACTAGATTGCTGAGCAGTTCTCAACTTCATGTAACGCTCAGTGTGCTCCCCTCCCCGCTTGACCCTAGTGTTCCTGTGGCTTCTAAATCTGTGGCATGGCCACAGTATAGAGCTTTCTTTCTGGAGTTAAGCTATTCTTGGTTGTTTGCTGATCCATTCATCCCTTTGAGAGTTCTGGTCTCCTTTAGTGAAAAAGTACTTTAAGGTCATTAGTTATGTACTGGGGAGTTTAGTCATTACTATGTTGTTCTTTTCAGTGGGCAGAGCTAGAGAGGGGCTTTAATAAATTACCTTGAGTGTAGCTAATCAAATTATGGATTACAGATTTCCTTTTTTTATAACCTAATCACTTACTCATGTCTGTGTCCTCTCCACATATGGGTATTCCTTCTCAAGGATACATTATGGAATAGAATATCCTCTACTGGGTCAGTAGTTTAGGTAAAAGCACCTGTTGCAAAGCCTGATGACCTGAGTTTGATTCCATATAATGAAAATAAAGAACCAAGTCCTGCAGGTTATCCCCTGACCTCTGCACTCATGCCTCCCCTCTCCCACATGTATGGGCCACCGCATGTGTGCACGTGTGCACGTGCATACTCACACACACACACACACACACACACACAGAGAGAGAGAGAGAGAGAGAGAGAGAGAGAGAGAGAGAGAGAGAGAGAGAATGATGTTTTCAATTAAAAATACATTAAAGAATATCCTATATTAATGTCTTAATCTGCTTTAACACTGGTACTCATATAAGAATAATACTGCTATTCCTACCAGTACAGTTTCTCATACAAGGCTGTCTCCATCCTCCATTCCTTTGTAAGCAGTTGACTGTATCTACACATCTAGTCTGTAGCCACTCACATGCACTCTGCCCCTAGCCTGACTCATTAAGCCCATGCTTGGAGAACCCATCCTTAGGTCAGTGTCCTCAGAGCCCATCAGAATCACATTTCTAACATCTTTATCGATTTGTGCTCTTTCTATTTGAAAATATCTTCTGGACATGAAACCTTTGATTCACGTTTTCTTATCTGAATGTGTTATTCTCTTGTCGAATCCTTTACCATCATTCTTAGAGGGTAGTATCAATTTGATTTCTCCATATAAGTTACATGTTCTTTGCCTAGGTTTCCAAAGGATGTTTTTTAACTCCAAATATTTTTACAGAGATTGCCTTATGGTTGGTTGTTGTGGAGCTCACTGTTTAATAACATGGTTAGAAATATTTCTGATTTCAGAAAAATATTCTTGAATTACAATCCTTTGTATTTTCTCTGTTCTCTGACTTTGGTTTTCTTCTTCCAGCCAGTTGCCATATCTTGCCTAGGGTCAAATATTTATGTCACTTTTAATAATCCTTTGCCTAAGCATCTTCTGTGGGTCACATTGCTCTTAAATGTAAGTTCCATTTTACTTTCTGTGATTGTTTTTCCTGTCTGTTCTGAGTTTCACTTGTTCTACTTTTCTAGTTTATTAAGCTAAGGCTTTGTTTTGGAGACCACGCTGGCCTCAACCTGCCTCTTATAGCCTTGGTCTCCTGAGCCAACTTTTGTTTTTTCTAATTTTGACTTAAATTCTTTTGTGTTTCTACATCATTTCCACAGTGTGTTTATCTTCTTTGTTTAATGGAAACATCTTTCTGCTGTGCTCTGTATTTTTTTACTTGTTCATTTTTTTTTTCATGAAATTTTTACTTTCAAATAAAGTTTCTTGCTGGGTTTTGTAGCAGACTCCTTTAATCCCAGCATTCAGTAAGCAGAGGCAGAACTCTATGAGTTCAATGTGTGCCTGGTTCTTTCTTTAAAAAAAAAAGAAAAGAAAAGAAACTGAACATAGAAAATAACTTTTTAAATTATATTTTTTCTATTCTTGTGGTTTATTAAAAATTTGATGTTTCTTAAGAGATTTTGTTTCTGCCTCTGATCCCATCTGGACCTTCTTCTTTTTCTCTCTCCTCTGTTCCTCTCCCGTTCTTTCCTCTCACTTCAGTGTCTTCCCTACAGGCCCTGCCCTAGAGAAGATTTCCAGTTAACAGTTAATGTTAGATTTGAAGATCCAGATGCTTAGGCTGTTCTGGCCCCTGGCGCCCACCTGCTCCTAATAGATTTAATTGCTGTTCTCAAACTGGCTACTTTTCTAGGGACCTTTCTGCTGCCTTGTCTCTAATTCTAGAAACCATACCCCTCCCAGATGATTACTCTGCTTGTTTCCTTACAGATTTTTGGGCCTATGAAAGTAAGGGTGAAATTCACCTCTACATTTCTAGTAGAGCCCAAGTAAAATTTGAAGTGATTCAAGATCCTCTAAGCATGAAAATTTACCTATTCTTTGGGATTTTCTGATCCAATCTGTACATATCACATGTTGCCATGACATTTTTTTCCTCTTAATGAAAGGTAGACATCCACCTGAGTGTTTTGTTTGCTTTTTTTCCAGTGGAAATCCTCCAGGGTTTGGTGAGTGGAAGCCTTGGTGGCACACTTGGACCGTCCATCAGCAGCCCTGTCGAGCAGGAAGTCATGGCTGGCCCCATTTCCTTGCCCCGGAGAGCAGAGACCTTTGGAGGATTTGACTGTCATCAGATGAATGCTTCCAAAGGTGATCCATTATTCCTTTGCAGCTCACAGTAACCTGGATTTTGGTAGCTCCGTCTCCTCTGTCCCTTCATCAATAAATAAATGTCTTCATGAGAGTCTCAAGCACTCAAGAATTCCTGTGAGAATCATGTTCATTGGAGACAATCAGCTTTTTTTCTGTTATTTGGCTGAGCTAATACAGCTAGAGGCCTTGAGCATCTCTAATGTGAAAAACTGATAGTTTTTCCATAGTTCATAGTTCAAAACTTCTGCTCCATAGTTCAAAACTTCCTGACATGTCACACTGCAAACTCCACACTTGAAAAGTTGCCCTGAAAACGCAAGCATGCCCAAAACATTATATACCATCATCTCCAGGTGTGGGCAAAAGTGTCTGGGAGACATTCAATAATTCTGTGTCTGAACAAGAGTCCCATCTTCCAAACATCTTATTATTACATGTATCAGAAAATCTGAAGCTCAAATTCTTCTGGTCCCACGCATCAAACAAGGGATGCTAAGCTGTGTTTCAGTTTTGTTTTGTTCTGTTTGGGTTTCATTTTCTTGCTTCTCCGTTAATGAAGCTGTGACTAGTGGCCAAGTGCCACTGAATGGCTTCTTGGCCTATTTTTATTTTGTGTATTAATAAAATTCAGAACTATTAATAACCCTAAGCTATCTATATTGTTTTCATTTTGTTTAGGAGGTGAGAAAGAAGAGGGTGATGAAGGCCAAGATCTTAGGAGAACAGAGTCGGATAGTGGTCTGAAAAAGGTAAGATTTTCTAGAAAAACACTCATATCTGTGAACCTCTTGGCACCTACGTGGACTTCATTACCATTTTGAAGTATCATTCCGTGATCTGGCTCAGGAATCAGCTTTCCACTCATAATGAAATTTCTTTTCTTGGGGAAGCACGTTCTGAGAGCAAACCACACAGTCGAGAGGCCTGTATCGTTGGTGCTTTGGGCCCCTGGCTTAGAGTCCTCTTTACAGACCCAGTTCTGCTGTGCCCTCAAAGGGCAGTTTCATTAAACATCCTGCTTGGTGTATCCCACCACCAACCACCCTCCTGATCCTGCTCTATGGGTTTTTTTAGTAAAAACTAGTTCAACTTCTTCTCTTCACACTTTCCAGGGAGATGTATAATAGAAAGAAAGGAAAACCAGAAATACAATATAACTTAGAAATGCATTGAGTATAGTCTCTTCATCAAGATTTTCATTTTTTAATGCAATTTTGTTGATATTTTATAGGGTGGAAATGCTAACCTGGTATTTATGCTTAAAAGAAACAGTGAGGTAAGGATTCCTAGATAGTTCTAGGATATTTAAGAATATTCTTGTTTTGCTATTACAAGTATCTGTGGCTTTAATATTGTATGGGAAAACCCCCCCCCCCCCCCCCCCCCCCCCCCGCCCCCGTCTCTCTGTGTCTCTCTTCTCCTCCTTCCCTCCCTCACTGTCTCATTTTGTTTTATTTTTCAACACAGAGTTTTTCTGTGTAGCCCTGACTGTCCTGGAACTCACTCTGGAGACCAGGCTGGCCTCGAATTTACAGAGATCCTCTTGCCTCTGCCTTCTGAGTGCTAAGATTAAAGGCACAGGCCACCACAGCTACATAGCTTTGTCTGTACAAGAACTGGGGAGCGCCTATTGGTGCCTTCATTCTGGGCCCACTTTGTAGAATTTGTAGCAGCTTTTCCTGGAGTGTAAAGGATCCCAGTAGCCACAAGTCTAGAGTATGGGAATTAAACTTGTGACAAATTCTCCTTAATAACTTCTTATGTTTACTGAGTTTGGCTCTTTGTACCCTCCCTTTCCTGCAAAGGAGCCTGATGTCCTCCCAATAGGGAATCAGACCCTGGGATGGGCTGTGTGTTGCTCCCTTCCCTCCCTGTCACTGAGCCCCACCCCTGAGGCCTGTTGGGATCAGTTTCAGGGTCACTGCTGTCTCCCAGACAAGTGCTCTTGCTGAGCCTTGCTTTTGTGTGTCCTGCACACTTGAACCCATGCATTTTTAGGGTGTTTCTCAAGGCTGTTTCTTGCATTTCATTTTTCCTCGGTGCATTTATTATGTTAACCCCCTGGGAGTTTTGTTTTGAAATTTTAAACTACTTCCTCCTCCCCATTCCCCCTCAAAAAATCCAGAGGATGTTGTTTTATGTCTGTTGGCAAAGGAGTTTGCTGAGGGACTCTCCCAGATACAGCCAAGGCCTGGGCCCTGTAGGCTGATGCTCTCTGTATCTGTCTCTTGAAATGAGCTGTCAGCTGATTATTTCCATTTGGCAAGGTCCCCTGTACTTAGTGAGAAAGTCTGGTGGGAAATAATGTGCCTGGCTTTCACACTGTAACTGCACAGCTGCAGTCTGCAGGCATCTGCACCTTCTGTTAAGACTCGGTATGAGCACTAAGGATGGACTCCAGAACTAAGCTTGGTTCAAGTATATAAAAAGAGAAATGTAAAGACTAGTAATATAAATCATCTGAATTTAAGCATGAACTATCACTGGAAGTGTCTGTGTCTGCCCTTTTCTCATCCATCACAAGATCATGTGTGTGATCTTCCAGAGGTCTCTCAATGCATCAATCAGAGGCATCTTGCCAAGACACAGGAACACAGTGCCTGCTGCTGAACACAAACAACTTCTGTTGGGTCCTAGAGTTAGATCTTTCTAATGGCTAATCCCTCTTGTATTTTTTTGTGTGTGTGTGTGTGTGTGTATGGTGTGTGTGTGTGTGTGTATTGCACTTACTACATGACTCTTTTCCTCACCGTTTTACTGTGTGGAAGGAGCTAGTGTGTAGCAGGGTGTGTCCATCCTCATTTTACTTTCACCAGCATTGAACACTACCATCTTTAAGTTGGCATTGTGTTGGCTTGATATTTCAAATAGCATTTCTTGATTTGTGCTCTGTGGATTTGAACCCAGAGCCTCAACCGTTGAGCTGTACTTCTAGTCCCTAGATGCTTTTTAATGTTTTATATGGTTAGCTAATTTGTTCTTCTGTCCTGTTTCTGAATTAGAATATTCAGTTATTTCCTCTTGTATTTTCTTTTAAGTTTTTTGTTTTCTTTCTTTCTTTTTAAATTTTATTTTATGTGTATGGGTACTTTTTACCCCCTCTTATGTCTGTGAATACATGCAGTGTCTGCAGAGACCAGAAGAGGTCAGTGTACCCACTGAGCCGTCTCTCTAGCCCTTATACTTGTAATTTAAATGGGTTACATTGTATATGTGAACCAAGGTTTCTAACTTAAAGTTTTCCAGAAATGAAGACAGTTCTCTTAGAGAAGTTAATTCAGTATTTTTCCTTTGCCCTTGATTATTCATAAACATAATATGGATTTTCAGGGCATTCTTTTTTTAACTTTGAGGTATGCACTAATTTTATATCAACCAATTTTAAAAGTGGAAGCTTTGTGTAGCACCTTTTAGTAGATGTTTACACACGCATGCACAGGAATATATATACATAAAGATATATATATATATATCTTTAATCTTGGCTGCTTACTCTCTTGGGTTCTTTCAATTTTAAAAGATTTCTTTAAAATATAATGTCTTGTTCTGAAGATGTTATAGCCATGTGATGTTGCTGAGAGTCAGGAAAACTGAGATGAATGTTTATTCCTTTGCTAGCAGGTTGTCCAGAGCATCGTCCACCTCCACGAGCTCCTTAGCATGCTGCAGGTACATGTATCATCTTTATCTGTGTTCTTACTTGTTTGGAGAACATAGCACAGAGATTTTGTTGACCTCAGTCTTTGGGATTTGTAAGTTACTTGTTGGTAAATAAGCCAAAGATTAGCTTCTGGTTAAGAAAATGAAGACATTGCAGCATGCAGTCCTTCCAAGACCACAACTGGAGAGCAGCTTGAGCAGTGCTTGGTAGTGTGGGACCTTCTCCAGAGGCTGCCTCACCTCAGGAAACCTTTCCTTATGTCTCCCTGGTATTTGTAAGGGTATCTCTGTCATACTCTATGGTACTTCCCAGGGACTACCCTCTTGAAGAGTTTACCTGTCTGCTTCCTACCTTCTCCCTCCTGCACAGCACACACACTCATCCCACCCCAAAATACCACCAAGAATTCCAGAAAATGTATGACCATAGCCTGTGAGATGCCTCAGCAGGTAAACACGCCTGCCTTGACAACCTGAGGTCAATCCTCAAGACCTACATGGTAGAAGGACAGAACTGACTCCCACAGGTTGTCCTCTGATCTTCACATGCTCTCTTTGCACATGCATGCATGCATACACAAAATAAATTGAAATTATTTTTTAGCTTAAATAGAAAATAGGTAACCAGGCTTGACAAAATTAAGTTCCCATATCTTTGACACTGTTTAAAAACTGCCCAAAGTTGCCCTGAAGCATATTGTTATAAGACCAAATTCTTGGAAGGCCTCACATTCTCTGGGAAGCAGTAAGGGGATGGGATAGGGAGCTAGTGGGGGGCACGAGAGAAGGGGAGGGAGAGGGAACGGGGATTGACATGTAAAACAAGCTTGTTTCTAATTTAAATTTAAAAAAGAAAATAGGAAAGGAAAAAAGACCAAAGTCTTAAAACATGAGAGGAACTTCATTCTGTCCCAGTGTGGGGTCAGGGAAGAATCCCTGCAGGTGGCTTTTCTCCTGGGCCTGAGTTGCACGATTTTTTTCTATGCCATGACAGGGTGTTGTGCTACAACAAGATAGCTACATTGAGGACCAGAAGCTGGTGCTGACAGAGAAGGTACTCACAAGGAGTACATCCCGCCCCAGCTCTCTGATTGAGCAGGAGAAGCAGCGGAGCCTGGAGAAGCAGCGCCAGGACCTGGCCAACCTGCAGAAGCAGCAGGCACAGCACCTGGAGGAAAAGCGCAGACGTGAGCGTGAGTGGGAGGCCCGGGAGCAGGAGCTAAGAGAACGAGAAGCCAAGCTGGCCGAAAGGGAAGAGACAGTCCGCCGTAGACAGCAGGACTTGGAGAGGGACCGCGAGGAGCTCCAACAGAAGAAGGGCGCTTATCAGTGTGATCTGGAGAGACTACGGGCTGCCCAGAAACAGCTGGAAAGAGAACAGGAGCAACTGAAGCGGGACACAGAGCGGCTCAGCCAGAGGCAGATGGACCAGGACTTCTGCCAGGTACCTAAGGGCCCGTGCCAGGCCAGTAGGTAGGGAGGAAGGGGCATTCTACTGTGAAGGCCAGGCAGTGACTGAGAGTGACGATCCGAGCCACATGGGAGTGAAGAGGTGACTAAGCTTTGCTTTACCTCAACAAGGGGAGGAAGTGGGTCTCACTTGAGGAGACTGAAGAGGGTGGCAGAGACATTGAGACTGTAGCACAGAGAAGTCAGTGGGTCCTTCAGGCTCGCAAGCACTTTTCTCAGCCACCAGCCTGGGCCAGAGTCGCCTCAGCATGTCTGAGAGAGTAGCAGTAGCCCTTGTCCTGTAGCACATAATAAACGGGGCATGTATCCCCACAAATTGGAAGCATACCAAGTAAAGGAGCCCATAGAACCTACATGCCAGTGGTCAGGAGCCCGTAGCAATTAACTCTGCTACAAGATAAAGAACCTGTTAAGAGGAGGGGGAGGGGTGTTAGTGACAGAGGGAAGAGCCCAGCAAGCGATAGAAATTGGTCATCTCCTGTGCACAGGTGATATCTGGGCAGGGATATTCAGACAACCGCACTAGGCATAATGCCTGGTTTGGTTTGATAGTCTTTCGTGCTCCTGTTTCTCAGTAGTTGCTGCTTGTTCAGGAAGGCTTTCTCTCATTCAGCATGCTGAAGTGTGATGTTACTGTAGTGAGATAATCTGTGATTGCCCTGGAACATGGGCGCTGAAGGCAGAGAGATAGCTTGGCATTGCGCACATCTCCCTGTCATTTAAAACTGTTGTCATATTGACATTTAACTGATCTTGGACCATGAAAGGAAACTGAAGTGATGTCTCCAACATCCAGCAGTACTCCTTTTCCAGGAGAGCTTCTCAAATACATAGCAGGGAGCAGCCAGTGGTTCTGCTGCATTCTCTAGGAAGGGTAGATCCACTCACATCCCAATAAACTCAGAATTTTGACAAGAGAGGGTTGGTTCCCAGGCTACAGAGAACACAGATGGGATGATGCTCTTCTGTTAACACTCTAGCCTGGCCAGGTCCATAATTTCCACCCTGAAGTGATATCTGCACTCATGTGTAAATCAGTCTTTAGATGAGCAGCTAGCCTGTTTCTTCAGGGTGTGGGAGTTCTTTTCTAAGTTGCCTCATCAAAGATGAGAATTGGACGTGATGGTTTTAGCATGCTTATAGATAGTACGTGGGAAGGAGCAGTTACATAAAATCCTGTTTACAGTTAGTTCTTTAGACTGTAGCTACCAAGGTGCAGGTGGCTTCCAGTTTTAAATGCCTTCTTTGAACACATGCAGGTCTCAAATAAACATACCAGGCTGATGCGAGTCCCATCCTTCTTGCCCAATCCGGATGAATTCTCCTCGCCATCTGCACCTTCCATAACCAAATCAGGGTCATTGGACTCAGAACTTTCAGTGTCTCCTAAAAGGAACAGCATCTCTCGGACACACAAAGATAAGGGGCCTTTTCATATACTGAGTTCAACAGGCCAGACGAAAGTACCAGAGGGGCAGAGCCAGGCCCCGCCCAGCACCTCCACTTCCACCCGCCTTTTTGGGTTAGCTAAGCCAAAGGAAAAGAAAGAGAAGAAAAAGAAGAGCAAAGGAAGCCGCTCTCAGCCTGGTGGTGAGTTGTCCACACTACACTGTCTCCCTGTGGCCATGGCGTCTGCATCCTACAAGAGAGGGTAGTGATGAGCTGGAAAAAAACATTTCAGATGTACAAAAGCCAAGCCACACCAAGCCCTTTTGCTAAGAACACTTGTTGCAAGGGCTGCAGATATGACCCAGTTGGTAAAAGGCTTGCCGTTCAAACACAAGGAGCTGAATTCTATCCCCAGAGATGGGAGGCAGAGGCAAGAGAATCCCTGGACTGTACCCACAAGCTAGTGTAGTCACAGTGGTGAACTCCAGGTTCAGTGAGAGACCCTGTCTCCAAACTGATGATGATGATGCTACTAATAAGCCTCTGGCATCCATGCACATAGAGACACATGAAAAGAAAGCTTGTGCAGGGGCTGGAGATGGGGCTCTGAGGTTGGAGTCACTGCCCTTGCAGAAAGCTCAGGTTCAGGTCCCCACACCCACACAGCAGCTCACAACCACATGTAACTCCAGTTTCAGGGGATCCGATGCCCTCTTCTGACCACTATGGGCTGAATGTATGCATGAACCTGTTGTGCATGCATACCTGCAGAAAAACATGCACAATCTTTTTCATAAAGAATGCTTGTGCAATGAGTGTCCAAGACCTTATACTGGGCCTCCTTGTTTATATGGAGTGCAGGTTTCATCTCTCAGGTGTTCTCCCAATTGAGGAACTTGCTCACCTAATTGAAGTCATCCATGCCCTCACTGTCTTGCTAGTGACCAATACAGTAGCAAGATTGGGTGTTGACCCTCTAGATGAGTAAGGCAGGTCATGTACTCGTTTCCCTGGGAGAAGTTAGGAAATGGAGCTGAGAGGTTCGCTAGCAGTGCTCACAGAGCCTCCCTGTTATAGTCCACATTTTCCTGAATCCTTTGCTATGTCTGCCTTCACATTAACACTGAACTCTCGCTTCAGTATGAGAGATTTATATTTCTAAGCCCGTTTACAAACATGAACAGAAGTGCTGGATGAAAGTTTATCTCTTTGCAAATTCTAGTTGGTACATGGCAAGAACCCCAGGCACCTGTCACACACAACACAGCAACTTGACAGGACAGGAGGTGACATCAAAAGGGTCACATTTTCACTCTTGATTTCATGGTTGCAGATGGTCCTGCTTCAGAAGTATCAGCAGAGGGTGAAGAGATCTTCTGTTGACCCGCCTCCTCTGCCAGGCCAGCCACCTTCCAACCCTGACCTGACGGCAGTGCTGCTGCGGCACTCCTGCCCCTTGTGCACAAGTCTCCTACACTGGACGCCCACTGCCCCTCAGCGTCCAGTCGTCCTGAGCTATCCCAGGTCCTGGACAAGAGCAAGCGACACCTGCTTGTCGGGGTGAAGAAGGACACCTGAGCCGTGATCCATGACTGCCCAGGACTTGGGTGGGCCTGGCCTTACTCAGGGTATTACACTGAAAGTAGTGACCCCAGAAGTAGGTAATTGCTTGAGACACGTCAAGATTCCCTAAAGGCTCAAAGAGGTTTTCCAAATGAGGTCTGAAAGCCTGCAACCAGAATCAAAGAGCAGATAGTGTAGACTTTATCTGTGTACACAGCCTTCCTTACACATCAGCATAGCTTAGGCCAAGAGCAAGCACCTGGCTGGCTGGTGGTGTGTGGGTATACAGTATTTCACCCTGTGGTCTCTGAGATTGGGTCCCTTGAGACGGTCCTTATGCATACACCACCCTCTTCGTGTGTTTTCCTCATTTTATTGGAGGAAGAACAACAAAGTGTTTGTGAAGCCAGTACAAGGCCTGATGTGTACGGAAAGCACATAGTCTGAACCACCTGGATCTCCATGTGCTAGGCTGAACTATCTGTCTCACTTCATATTCTAATCAGGAAGGAACATCCCAGACGCCTGTCCAAATGCTCTGGGCACAGAGGAAGTAGACAGGACTCTTTCACCACTGTCCCCAGTATGACACCTTCTAGTTGTTATTGAACTCCCTGGGGGAAAGCAGGCACCCTGTGGGTGCTCCCAGCCACCTGCCCTGGTCTAGACTGTCCCCTGAGGCCTCTCCACACCCTGCTCTAGGATTACTAACTGAAAGGTAGGTCCAGGTATAGCAGTTAAGTCTGGCTGGTGGTTTCGCCAATACAGACGGGAGCTGGCCCTGAAGCGTGGCTGGGTGCACTCTCTTGAGTCACAAGGCCTCCTCACATTCGGTTTTCAGATGCAGTTTGCTTGGTTGTGCTCTTACCCTTGAAGCTGTCAAGTGCCGCCTGTCTCTCTTCTCGCTATCCATCTCCATGTGTTGTTCCATGCGTGCTTGAGGCTTTCACCAGCTCGTGTGTGCAGGACAGTTCATTGGTAATGTACCCTCTACGGCTCACATACCTGTCCCCCAGGGTACTCTCTGAGGGACGTGCTGAGGTCTGTGCTTCACACATGGCCTTCAGTTCTAGTTTTGCCCTCCAAAGCACGGGCCTTCAAACGTAGTTGAGCAAAAACAAACCTGTAACTTGGTGCTTGTTGGTGACCTGCAAGCTGGACTTGCAGATATGGATATTTATCTTTCAGTTTACTTGAAAGAATTCTGATTTAAATTTTTTAGCCTAAATTTTGTTTTATTTATTTTGTGTTTGTGTTTTGTTTTATTTTATTTTGAAAGTGAACCAGTACTGGCCCAGCAGTTTGAACCATCTTTTCCATACAGAGAATGAAGTGTGTGTCCAAGTGCATGAAGGTCCCAAGGGAAACCCAAGGGTCGAGATGGGAGCTGTACCCTTCCCTCCCCTGCCCGTTTTTTTCATAGGGAATGTGTATGTTCATCTTTCTTTGGAGATGTTAAAAGTGCCTGTTGGCTATCTTGCCTCTTTTTTTTTATAAAGCCGATTTGGCTCTTTAAAGTCAGATTTTTTTCCTACTAAAACTATGATATACTTCCCTCCAGAACCTTAACAGTAAGAAGCTAGCTGCTTCCTTCTCCCAGTCCAGACTGCTGTCATGAGCCTGCCATGCCTCAGATCCCCCACAGGGTTTGACTGGCAGTCCTTGTCCCTGCCTCTGAATAGCTCCTCAGGGAAGTTGTACCCTTCCACAGTGGAGCTTGTCTGCTAGGAGGAAAAGGGCCTGACCACCATCTAGACTTGACAGAAAATCAAACCAAACCCTGCCCTCTCTCTTCCCTGTGCAGAGGGAAGCCAGTGACTGTCCTCCAGGGTCACTCTGACTACCCGGTGAGTGAGCCCTGCCCTCAAGTGTCTTCTACTGCCAACCAGTTGCGTTTTGCTTGCTTCGGTTGTTTTAAAAACCAGTTTCACTTCTACCCACACTCCCCCGCAAAAATGGTCAGTGACAGTTGAAAGAAGTTCAGGTCAAAAGAAAGCCATCCTGAGTTCCCCTAAGCTGCCAACTTCCTCCAGGAAGAGAGCCATTTGCCAAGAACTGTTTCACCTGCTCGCACCATCTGGCCCCCTCAGAAGTCTGTTGCACTTTGGGAATTGCTGCTTGTGCTCTTGCTTAGGACCCTGAAGATTGCCATAGCTGAGTCCATAGCCTTATGTGGGATTCTCAAAGAGAAGGGTACTTTTCTAAGGACAGGATTGTGTCCTGTCCTATTGCCTATACTAGGAAATCATGTTTCTACATCAAGCTGAAGAAAACACTGCTTTGGGGGACGGGTGTAAATTGGCCTCAGCATTGTGGAATCCAGTGAACTTCCTAGAAGAGTGTCTCTTCTCTCAAAAATTAAAATCATCTCAGTAGTTGTCGTCCCATCTGGGTGACATGTGCACTTTAAATGACCTCTCATCAGCTGGCTTCATTTTTGAGACAATCAAACCTGTTGACTGTTTTCTTAGAAGATGGAGAGGGTTGAGATAAAAGCATACCAGCATGCCCCCACCCCCACGAGAGTCACTGGCAGGGAAGCCCTCACCCAGATTGATTTTTCAAAAGGTACGAACTGAATCTTCTGAGGGTTACACCACTAAGGCTGCCTTTGCTAGTCCCCCACATTGGTTTTCTTCACAGCCTCGTACCAGCAGTAAGCATGAATGTCTCTTTGGGGTGATGTTAGTGTACACAGGCTTAGAAAGGACAGAACCTTGGTCTGCAGGCCAGAGCTTGCCCAGAGTCGCTCTCCATACAAGTCTTTAATGTTTCCTTCTGTCCCTGAGGCTCTCTTGCCAAGGCTTTTTGTATCTCATGGGACTTGACTCTGACCTGTGCCCAGAAGACAACCCTGGAGAGTGGGCTTCCATGCCTGGACAGCTAACATGGATGCCTTTGGGTGAAGCAGTGATCCAGGCCATCCCTGCAGAGACCAAGGGCATAGTGTGGCTCCTTGTTTTCTCTCTTGTAGCATAACATTCCTAGTTAACCAGGGCTTTGGAGTCTGTTGCCTGCTGGCCAGGTTTAGAAATGCAAAGTATTCTAATGCTGCCATAAAAGGGGGAGAGGTGGCAGCAGAGGCCTTTTCCTGCACGCTCCGCTCGTGATTTAATTTGTCAAAAGATTGACAGATAGGTCCTGAGTTACTTCTCCATCTCACTAAGGTGTAAAAGTGGGTGGCCCCCACTGCTTCAGGTGTGCCCTGCTTTGAAACCAGGCAGGTGCCACTGCCACAGACCCCAGAGGGCCTCTGCAGGAAGCACAGAACCTATGCCTTAGACCCTCTAGCATCAGCTGCCCTGCCTTGGTTGCCTCCTGTTGGGATGGACCTACCCAGCTGGTTTGTCTCAGGTTTCCTCCTGAGGCCTGGGCTCCACACAAGGTGGGCAGGATACACCTATACCTCTGTTTTTGTTAAGTCGTCTCCAAGTGCTGTATGGACATTTCTGTACTAAGCCCTATTAAATAAATGTTGGGTTAAACCCAAGCGCTGTATAGTAATTTGTAATTATGTATAAAAGTGAAACAGTTTTGAACTGTAAAGATTTTCAATGTGTTTTCTGGAAATTTGCCACAACGTACTGGCTTTGTATTTTATTTATCATCCTTTGTAGTTACTGGCTTCAGACTCTTGTAAAGTCCCCCTCAGACCTTTCAAAAATAATAAATTTCTTTTAAAATCTTCATCTCTGCCATAATGTATTTGTGATAAAGGAGTATGTATTCACCTCCCCACCCTGACCGGAGCCATCTTCCCAGTAGAACAGTTTCTGTGCAGGTGGGAGCAGGGTGCAAGCCAGCAAAGCCTGGAGCTGGTCCCAAACCCCCTGGGTCACTGACCCACCTGCACTAAGTCAAAGTCCAAACCACACTTCAATGAAATTAGCACAGTAAGGTTTTGAGCTGCTGTGCCATTTACATGCTCCATCTCTGTTGACTTCTGCCAGATCTCTCAACCCCAAGGAGCTGCTGCAAAGCTAAGGAGCAAGTCCTGTCTCAAGGTGTGCCAGGTAGGACCATGGTTGGTCCATGTACACAGCCCAGGCCACTTGCTCTCCACAGCCCTGGCTTCCTACTGCTATGAGTCCCATGCAACCGGATCAGCAAAAAGGCCCTCCAGTTCCTCTGGACGTTAGAGAACTGTACCACTTAGTCATACAAGAGCCATGGGCAAAGCTCCTTGGGATCTCAGCTCTGCCCACATCATTCCCAACAACCAAAATAAAAGACCTGCCAGGCTCTCCAAAGTCCCACTCTGTGAACTTGGAAGTGCAAACATTTTTTAGCAGTCATTTGTAACC